CCAGGGCGCCACTCACGCATACATGTCAGGCTACAACTTTCACAGAGCCCATAGAAATACGTGGTACGTTCTGTGACGTAGCTCCGCCCCCGAGAATATTTAGTTACCCATGTGTGTGACTACATTACACTTACTAGTAACGTCAGTTGTTCCACAAATAACAATGATAATCGTAGACGCTCCTGGTTATAACCTCATATTACCACATGCACACGTGACTAATTTGCATCCACTTGTTTGTGCAAGAATGTAACTTTAGACGTCTTATTATTCAAATTTCACAACCATAACATTCAACGATAATTATGGGGCGACACAGTGTACGTTTAATAGTATTCAAATGATGCAACAAATGCCAAGCAAACTTCTGAAGGGCTATTTTATCTTATTTGCATGTCAGTTACAGACAATGTCGATGTCATTTCATGACAAATGACTGTGTAATCTGCACTACAAATGTGATAATAGTATGTACCAGTTATTTACAGTATTTATTTAGTAAGTTCATTACAAGTCAGGCCTATCACATATTGAGTACAATTTATTTGTATTCGTCCTAAATTATTTGAAAAAAAGACTTAAATAGAGAGCCACCCGTTCTGAATATATATGGATTTGTCGCAATGTAATTAAATTAAATTAAATTAAATTAAATTAAATTAAATTAAATTAAATTAAATTAAATTAAATTAAATTAAATTAAATTAAATGTGAATAATTAGTGCATCAGAATTTTTTTCGTAACCGTATTGTTTGTTTCGTTGTTGAAAGAATTGAAACAGGCTGTTTTGGATTTCGTAACTTTTTATTTTTTTCACAAAAATAATGAAAAGAAAAGACTAATCTGAGATTATTGAAACCATATATTCACAAATGAACAATTTCCAGAGTAGATCAATTAAAACTTCTTTATTATTTTATTTTTGTTTTATATGTTAACGTTTTTATAAAACTATATTGACTTTGAACCTAAAACGAAATGCCATATCTTCTTTATTTACTTCTCTATATTCACTTTGGCGTTACGGCAGTTACAAGGAATATAGAATAATAATGTAGAAAAAGACACCAAACTGGAGAACATTGCGGAGTAAATTCAAATTACGTCTGTGTAAAGCGCCCTCTCGCAATGGCATCCTTCCGTGACTCTAGACGTGACCCCGCAATCAAAAAAGAAAATGGCGTCGTTACTGTTGGCTTCGGTCCGAAACTGTTCCTGTGTTTTTCGTTGTGTTAACCCGATAAGGTGAGTGTGTTGAACTTAACAACAAACTGACAGTTTAATATTCATTATTGCGTGCTTTCAGTCGCCATTCAAATAGATAAAGAACAATTACCGTTGTCAGTGCAATTCAGCAAACTGAAACCAGTGTGGAATCACGTACACTATCACTGTTTCTCAGACCCTAGGCTATATAGAGGCACTGTGAGTGTATGTATGTACGGAATTAAAAATGTCACAAGTAATAATGCCCCCAGGCGTATCTTAGGTGCATTTATCCATTGGTAACAATTCTTTCAAATTCGCACATATTCTATTTGACACAAAATAATTAGAGGTTATTCCTCACGTCTGTTTTAGAGTTGTATAATAATAAGGCTATTAACAAAATATTGGAGTTCATGTCTTCATGCATTGTACTCTTCGGCATTGTCCTCAAAACTACATGCTTTCAACAATACTTTTGCTGTATGATGTACTTGGACTTAAATTCTGGTATTTTGTTAATAACTTTACATTATCCATGATCAATATGGTGACTGTTATTTGGGATTAGCCCCATGTTCCAAACTATGTGACAGTATTCCAATGTAATCCATTACAGTGCTTTATTTTTAACAAAACTTTCTAGGTGCACGAATTTATTTTTACATATAAGGAATAAAGAGCCAGATAGCGTGATTTTATTTTCATATGAAACAATGTAACAATTTCTTTTGTTCTCTTGATGTATAATAGATTTTCTGGATTCTTCACATTGTGGATGATAGTGAAAAATGTTTTCACACAACGTTTTTGTTAGCAATGCATTTCAAAACTGCATACTGTAAAATACTTTATTTTCGCTTGGAATTTATTTTCGCTATTTTCACTGAAGGGATGATTCCGTGAAAATAAAATCCAGCGAATATACTTTTTTTCCTATATTTCACATTAAACTCGTCAAAAATCAGTGAAAATAAATTCCATACAAAATGCCCAAAAAGCCTTTTCAGCGAAAATTAATTCCAGCGAAAATAAAATATTCCACAGTAACTCTCAGATTTAGAGATGCTGCATGCCTGAAAGACTTAATAACTTCTTTCCCACTTCCAATGTGTCCAATAATAAGTTTATCAAATTCACTTGGCTGATAGTTACCACAAACTTGTACATCAATGAACTATTTTTTGAAATTCTTAAATTATGAAATTAGGTGCACCAGTTCACATTAGCCTCTATTTTGAAACCATTCTGTTAAGTGGTTTTTTTTTAAACAAGCTCATTAAAAAAATGACAGAGCAAGTGGATAAAAGAAAATCCTAGTTTGACAATATTTCATTAGTGAACTTTAATCTTGTGCTATCAGATGATGACTAACATCAAAGGAAGTAACACATTTTGTTTTGATTTTCTGTGTCATATTGTAGTTTAGATTTGTTGAATACTGTGTTGTCTTTGCTCATATAGGAATGTGTCTGTGTCAAGTGTGAAATGTATACAAGCAAATCCCGGACAGAAATCTCTACAAGAAGTCAAGGAAGTTGAACCAGTAAGTTATTACTCATGTTTGATCTCCACAGCAGCATGTCTGAGGTTGATGGTCCCACTGCAGCTTTGGTCATGTATTTTCACATGAAAAAATCAGAAGTCACTCTACAGTTGGGTCATTGCTACCCAAATTTGCATATTTAAAAAAAATAATTGAAAACCTTGCTCACATCACAAACTGCAGGGAGTGAACAAATCTAATCTTATAAAGTTCATCTTCCATGTATAACCATAGTATTTCTGAAAGACCATTATGTTTAGATTGCTGTTAACACGCATGCATTTATGGCTTGTGTTTTAATTTATACTCTCCAAAACAAGCACATACATCTAAGAACATTTACAAGTTTAGATATTTGGTCTTAGTAGCACACGAGCTTACGTAAATTACAAAGGTGCATGTATGTCTATGGTTGTAATTTAATGATCCAGATACAATAGCTAACTGGTGTGCAGAGATGAGCTATTAATAGAGCAAATCAAGTATATGTATATGTCTGTCTGACTTGCAGACTGATCTGACACCAGTAGCAACAGTGTCTGGCATCCCTGAGGAGCATGTGAAGACAAGACTTGTGCGAATTTTTGTGCCCACCAAAAATGCAATGCAATCAGGCACCCATAATACTCGTAACTGGAGAATAGAATTTGATACCAGAGAAAGATGGGAAAATCCACTTATTGGATGGTCATCAAGGTAAATGTATTATATTACTACTGGTACATGATTTGACGATTTAATGGCATTCTGTAATAGTCAACTCAATGCTTTTTAGCTGGGGGAAAAGAAAAGAAACAGTCACGATTGAGTTTGAGCATGGAGGGAGAAAAAACAAGAAACTGGTGTTATGATTTAGGTACTGGTATCTCGAATAAACAGGAAACACGGCAGCTAAAATGTGTTACAGCCTATTCGCTCAAGTTATTGTTCAACTGTTGCTATGTGTGTGACAGTTGTCAATTTAAACCTACTAGGAACATGCCGTGACCACTTCCCTGATTTTAATTTCTGGTGTATTTAAAAAGTTTCTTCAATTTTCATTGGATCTGTTCAGTCCTTCTTTCAAGTTTTTGTCGCATAATTTCGTACGCCTTTTTTCTGTTTCCTGTTGACCTGTCAATCTATCACAGTATTTCTTTACTCTGCCAAAATAAATATTAGGGCGTGTACCTCTTCGTCAAATCGGAAATTGCATGAAGTTACGAATGATGTTGTGTCCACCATAATTGAAATGAGAGGTTACATGAAGAAGACGATTGAGGGTGTGATTTGAGCCCTGCATATACACAGTCGGGCCATGTCGGTCATGTATTGACATATCATTCATACCCTCAAATTGCTTCATACATCTATGGTATGTTTTCTTAACAGTGCTGATCCATTGTCCAATTTATCAGTGCCATTTAAAAGTAAAGAAGCTGCTATCAAGTTTGCAGAAAAGAATGGTGTGTATGTTTGTAATAAAATATGTCAAGTCAATTAAGGAGATATGCAACAATATTTCACTTGTATGTGTCGCAAAAATTATATACCGGTAACAACTTGTTGCCCTAATGTCTACACTCCAACATCATGAACTAGTTAATGGTATTTATTCCTTGTTTGTACCATTCCAACATCATGAACTAGTTAATGGTATTTATTCCTTGTTTTTACCATTCCAACATCATGAACTAGTTAATGGTATTTATTCCTTGTTTGTACCATTCCAACATCATGAACTAGTTAATGGTATTTATTCCTTGTTTGTACCATTCCAACATCATGAACTAGTTAATGGTATTTATTCCTTGTTTGTACCATTCCAACATCATGAACTAGTTAATGGTATTTATTCCTTGTTTGTACCATTCCAACATCATGAACTAGTTGATGGTATTTATTCCTTGTTTGTACCATTCCAACATCATGAACTAGTTAATGGTATTTATTCCTTGTTTGTACCATTCCAACATCGTGAACTAGTTAATGGTATTTATTCCTTGTTTGTACCATTCCAACATCATGAACTAGTTAATGGTATTTATTCCTTGTTTGTACCATTCCAACATCATGAACTAGTTAATGGTATTTATTCCTTGTTTGTACCATTCCAACATCATGAACTAGTTAATGGTATTTATTCCTTGTTTGTACCATTCCAACATCATGAACTAGTTAATGGTATTTATTCCTTGTTTGTACCAATTTTCAGGCTGGAGATATGAAGTTGAAGAAAAACATGAACGTACACCGAAAGTCAAAAGCTATGGTGCTAACTTCTCATGGGATAAGAAAACCAGAGTTACTTCAAAATAACATTATCTTTAAATTTATTATCTTAGATGAGTGTAGAATTAGATTGACTGGATGTGATGGCTTTTATAGATAATGCTCCTCACTTGGCCAGCTGCTGGTAGCAGAACTTTATGTGAACTATGTCACTTGCTATATCCACTATTATAATGATTTACCGCTTATTGACCTTTTGTTTTAATTTACTTTATGCATGTTTCAGTAGATGTGGCCAAGTTGTTGAAATACCAGCTTACATATTATGTAAATAAAAGAAATGTTGTTGTTGCATTTTGTATGCATTTCTGATTGGACAACATGGCACTGTTTACACTGTTACACCAATGTGCTTGAGTCATTGTGAAACTACTTACAAGACTGTGTCTGATTGGACATCTAACAGACCAATCAATTGTTTGTTGACTGGATTTGTTGACACATTAAATTCTGCCTTGTATACATGTCTTGACTGAGCTGTTCTACTGTCTCATAACTATTGCTCCAAGTCATGTATGTAAGGGTGCCTCTAGAGGGTAGTTGCGCGTGAAAAAGGCGAGGTGAATTTTTGTCTATATGCCAGTTGCGCGTTGCCATGGCAAACACCACTCAACGACTTCGTAACATTGTCTGGGCTCTGGCCATTGACGCTGTACGTAGGCGTCTTTTCTACATTGCACGTTTCGTGGGACACATCCGTGACTGGCTCTTGATTATTCATTGTCTGAAAGGCTTAGCGGTCTTGTGCCATTTTATTATATCATGGATGGCAGTGGAGGATGAGAGAAGACTAGTTTCAATCTTCACCTTCCATCCCGTTATCGCCTCCGCTTAAAACAATCTTAACCGCAAATTGCTATGTACATGAGAAAAAGGCCACAGTATACATACACAACACGGTTGGCAAGATCCTCTGGCGAAAATAAAATACTTATTAGTTGCTTTCCCGGGCGAGTAGACGACAGGCTGCTCTGTCTCTGAAGTAAAATTGTTTCAGCTTGAAAACTAATAAAAACACGTTCTGTTTCCTAAAGTATTTAAAAAGTCTAAAATGGACCGATAAGTTAACGATTGCAATGGTTTTTTTTTTACGCAATAGTATTACCATTTTGTTTCTGGTCTATTCATGACAAACTGCATGCAAACTGACTTTTCAATGATATGGTGTGTGTGAAATATTATTCTAGAACCCTGTTTGGTCATTGGAACTTTTAATTGAGATATATTTTACAAGGATCTGTGATTTGATTGTGTTGTGTGATTTAGATGTAATTTCTTCTTGTTCTGAACTGTATTTAAATGCCTCGCGTATGCGCAAGTCTAATTTGCACGAATATTTCATTTGTTCCTACTCTATTTTATTGACACGCACAAGTCTGGTTTGCGCACAAGTTATGATTAAAATGCCACGCGTAAGTCTGGTTTGTTTTATTTAGACCACAAACTGGAATACTTTTATTCTGGCAATACTATCGGACACCCAATCTGCGTTGCTTCGCTTTGTTGTTCGGGAGTCGCACTAGCTATTTTCTGAAGACACCGTCCTTTCACACCTAATAAACACTTATCGTCTATAGTTGTGTATCGGCTTGTGAGTGGAAGTCAATGGGAGAGATTGTGATTACAATGCCACGTGATTGTCTGATGTTGATTTGTTTTTAAATAAATGTTTTTTCATTATAAAAACACATAGAACTCATCTATCGCACAATACAGTGCCAATATGGCTGAATGCTGAGTAACTTGTACATTTCATTTGATCTGAACTGTATTTAAATGCCACGCGCATTTCATTTGTTCCAACTCTATTTTATTGACAAGCGCAAGTCTGGTTTGCGCACAGGTTATGATTAGAGCGCTAACGCACAACTAGCATATAGACAAAAATGCGCCTCACCTTTTTCACGCGCAACTCCCCTCTAGAGGCACCCTTACATACCTCTCCAAGTACGTGGCCTTTATTTGATTTTTTTCTAGAATCGAACAACTCCACATTTCCTACCAGTAGTTATCTTACTGGGATTGTCAACTGCTATTTAAATCCACAAATCATTGATCTGAATAACGTAAGCTGGTGCGGTATGCATAGCATTATGGATAGGATAATGCATGAGTGAAGCACATTTTGTAGTCTTCGGCCCTTTGTGTCTGTGTCACGTTGGTACATGTATAAATGTGTACATGAGTTTCAGGCTTTGTTTCAATTGTAGGTAGACAATGTTAAAAATATTTATAACTACAGTTAGAATATGACAAGGTTGAAAACAAACCACTGATATCAAATTTGTAGTAGATCAAAGGACAAGATGTTGGTCTTTGAAAGGTTGTGAATTCAAACTCAAGGGATGTTGCATCTAGTACTAGCATTGACCTAGATAATGCACCACATGGGGAAACCAGTTAGAGAATCCCCATGAAAACAAGGAGTTAGATCACATAAAGAGTAAGCTTCTGGAAATGGTAAAACCTTTTAGAATAACTGCATCAAAAATGGTATAAGATTTCGTATCTACAAGCTACTTCATCAACATAACCATGCGTAGTTTAACCTGCAAGTCATAACTAAGGTTTGCCCAAAGTATTGAATAAGATTAATGTAAAGTCAAAAATATACATTTTAAGCAAACTCTTACCAGTTGAAATATTCAGCTCTTTATCGGCTATCCATATCTCAATATTGGTGTGTAATTTGTTAGCTCCTAAGAATACAAGCTATTTTGAACTGACAATTGTATGCAATATTTAAAAACATTTATTAAATTCATCTGGTTCGGTGCTGTTAAATTACAATTAAAAAATAAAAACTATCACAGAATTAGATTCAATATACATTCATTGATTAATTAAGACGTGTGATTTGCGCAGACCTTAAAAATGTTTTTAAGTTCAATCATACCCATTCTACATTTCTGCTGTTTTATGGCAGTAGGTAACTGCTGAATACTGTAAAACGACTAATTTTCACTGGGTTTAAATTTTGATGATTTACCATTTTGGTGGGTTTTAAATATCATTTAGATAATGTGTTCTAAGCTAAATTTTACATATTTACTCTGTTTTAATTTAATGCATTTTCCAGTCAGCGAAATAAGCAAAAACCCAGTGAATAACAAGTCATTGTCAATGACACGTCCCCGTTTCGTTCATATTTGAGTGACATATACATTCAAAGCAGATCATGACCGAAATGCACCTGCATATGTACAACACATTGTGCTAAATCTGAACAAAATCCATCCATGCATGACTGAGATCCGGTTCTGGAATTGTGAAAATACGTGATTTTGATGCATTTTCGGCCTTAAAATGGCCATCATTCCGCTATTGTTAAGCAGATCATGAAACAAATGCACATATCTATTTGTGACATGATGTACCTTGTGTGTGTGAAGTTTGAACTTGATCAATCCAGACATGTCTCGGATACGGATCCAGAACTGAATTCTTTAAAACAAAATGGCCGCCAGTCGGCTATTTCGAACTTGATCCGGAAAAAAAAATGACGTGCATCAAGGTCCTATTTATGTTTAATGTATGTACCAAATTTGAATGAAATCCGTCCATGCATAACTGAGATCCGGGTCCGGAATGGTGAAAATGTGCGATTTCAATGCTTTTTCGGCCTTAAAGCGGCCGCCATTTGGCTATCATTAATGAGATCATGAAACAAATGCACATACATATTTGTGACATGATGTACCTTGTGTGTGTGAAGTTTGAACTCGATCAATCCAAGCATGTCTCAGATACGGATCCAGAACTGAATTCTTTAAAACAAAATGGCCGCCAGTCGGCCATTTCGAACCCGATCCAAAAAAAAAAAAATGGCCGCTATTCGGCTATCGTTAATCGGATCATGAAAAAAATGCATGTGCATATGTCCCATATAATGTGTGATGTATGAGTGAAGTTTGAACTTAATCGGTCCATGCATGTTCGAGATACAGGTGATCACGGACGCACGGACGCACACAGGGCAAAACATAAGTCCTCGTTTTCGGACTGCGTCCGAACGGGGACTAATTAACCCCTTTACAGTACTATAATTGGTATTCTAATCAAAGTGGCAATTAATAATTGTGTTAAACATATTGCCTGCTGATGCCATTATTTACGCTCAAAATAGGATTTGCAATAGTAATAATTAGAGAATCAGGATGAAATTACATCACTTAATAAATAATCAAAATCTTGACAAATTACATTACAGTTCAATACATGTATAAAAGACCATTGGATAGGAAAATAAAATCTACCTTGGATTAACAAAACAATACAATTTTCTCACATGGATAAAAATTTACTCAAAATGCTATATATTAAGTTGTGTTTGATCAGAAATGGATAATCATAATAAGACCTTTGTGTCAGTGGAAATATAAATATGTACATTTCTGGACATTTTGATTCCTAAGTTTTTTCAAGCCTATGCATTCTTTTGTTAAATTCAATTCTGCACAATTTGGCAGATTTGACTTATTTTAAATACTATAATTTTGATAAATTGTTCAAAATAAAAATGCTCACTATACAATGTAAATTGTAACAACTATGTAATTTTAACATGAACTTTGTGACAATTGTATGAACCATGTGATAGTTAACACAATTCATATGGAAGGAATTCCTACAAAACAAATTAGGACTGCAAGGTAAAAAATGTCAAAATACATGAATACAAACCATAGAAGATGATACATAACATCACTGAGAAAGACAAATACATGAATACAAACCATAGAAGATGATACATAACATCACTGAGAAAGACAAATATAATGGAAAATAGTTGCTAGTTTTTTTGGCTATTTTTCATAACAATATTTTGTAATATGGCACCAACATAACTATGTTGGTATTATGGACGAGATGTTTGTTATGGTAACATTCCCTGATTGTTCATACCGGTATTTGCATTATAATGATGCATAGTTTAGTTCCAAATATCAATAAAGAGGATGATTTCACCTCAGTTTAACTAATCCTAATCTTGGATTTATTTCTTCGATTACATTGAGAAAAAACATAGTTAAAATGTACAAAGAAAGACAATAGTGTGAAATGGTGCAATGCAAGATTGAATGAACAAAAATTTCAGCCTATGGAGTAACGTGTGTTCAATCCTAAAATTTGGGAGGAATGTGATTGTTTCTTCAGTGCAGCTGTTCCATAATTAGTGAGTTTTACAAATGCAGAATGTCTTGACTTTATGTTCCAAAATATTGACATATTTGGTGGGATACTTGTGATAAACATGTGAGTGTGCCAAGCTGATTCATGTGTACTTAGATCCTTGCCGAGTCTTCTTTTACTTCAATTCCTTTTAAAAAGTACAACAGTCTTTGAAGACCATCTCTGGCACTTTCCACATCAGCATATGAACATGGATGTACCAACCATTTTCGACCTGCTGCTCTCTCATCCAAATCAAAGTCTTTAATGATCTGGAATTAAAAAGTATCATTTATTAGGTATCTAATCAACTGCTCTCACTGTTAGTAAGTAATATGTTACTGATCAGATTTTCACATTCATGTTGACATATACATGTGTAAGTTGTTGGCCTTTATTGGATGTCAGCTTTTTTTTAGTTAAAAATGTATATCATGACAAAGTTTAACTGAAAACTATTCATGTCAACTGACTCGTTCTAGGAATACTGTTATATAATGTCTGACCAGTAATTTACATAATTTTATTGAAAATGAGTTTGCAACACTTTTGTCAATAGATTAAAACAAGCGACATGATGGTTGAAATAGCTCCTTATAGGTTTCTTAGCACATATGTATATCACTCATAAGGATAAATTTAATAGAAAATAAGAATGTAATTGTTGACAGACAATCACCTATATGAACAGGTCCTGCTAATGATGAAAGTGGAACTAAAAACACAGTCACTAAGTACAAACTTCAAAGTTTTCTCATTCAAACTCCTTAGATTCCCCAAAACTAATTTTGAAGACCCTTGAGTTTAAGATAGTAGTAGTCACTTTACAAATAAACTGAAAGACCTACCTGATCAGTTTTCCTAGCAGATGACTGGTCTTGATAATTGGCAAGAATTAAAATAGGTAGGCCCTTTAAGGAAGCATGCCCAAGTACTTTGTGTAGTTCTTCTTTAACAGTCAAGAACTCTTCTGGTGAACATGAACTATCTATAATAAAGACTATGCCTTCAATGTTGTCATAGTAACGATTCCAAAATGGACGCACATTTTCTTGACCTATACAATAAATATAGAAGAGTGATCAGGATATGTGAAATTTTATTTCAGTCAAATTTTACCCCATATTGCACTTGCTAGTTACATCACAAAAACTGATAAGATTCACAAATTTGAAGATGATCGAATAAAAATTGTTCAAGTTATTGTAACCACAAGAAAAACACAATATAAGTGAAATTTAATGAATATGATCTAAAACATACATAGAACATGTGCCATAATCAAACTTGGCTGAAATCCCAAACTGGTTAATACATGTATAATATCCAAGTTTGAAAGAAACTGATAAATAAAAATTGTTCAAGTTATTGTAACCACAATAAAAACACAATTTTAAGTGAAATTTAATGAATATGATCTAAAACATACATAGAACATGTGCCATAATCAAACTTGGCTGAAATCCCAAACTGGTTAATACATGTATAATATCCAAGTTTGAAAGAAACTGATAAATAAAAATTGTTCAAGTTATTGTAACCACAATAAAAACACAATTTTAAGTGAAATTTAATGAATATGATCTAAAACATACATAGAACATGTGCCATAATCAAACTTGGCTGAAATCCCAAACTGGTTAATACATGTATAATATCCAAGTTTGAAAGAAACTGAATAAAAATTGTTCAAGTTATTGTAACCACAAACAAAAGTTTTACGACGAATTCAACAATGACAACAACGAGAACAGACATTTTCTCCTCATATACCTTGTTTTTCATCTATAATGATACGAACAAGGGAATTATACTATTGTTTTCTAATAATTAATGACAATGTTTGTAACTACACACATTTTGTTTACTTTATGAAATCACCACATGTACCATACAAACCAATGGTAAATGACAATTTTCAAGGATGTTTAACTTGTTTTGTGCAAAAAGTAAAAGTCAATGACAAACTTTATCTTGGTTTTATTAACAACATCATAAAATAAAACATAGAAAGTCAAGGTCAAGAAAGTCTGATATATTTTACTGAATCAAATAATTATAACATTACTGATAACTCACTAACAGGTGGTCTTACCTGGTATTAAACAATTATTACATGCATGTCAGGAAAAACTCAGAACTCACCTCCAATTTCTTTAACATTCAAAATAGCCTCTTTAAAAGGTATCGCTTTAATATTGAATCCTGCAATAAACACATTAGTTATCAGGAGTGAATCAGCTTCCAGTCAGCACCATACCCACTTGCAACATTCATGCTAGCCTCAATTAGAATTTATATGCAACCAATTTTCTATATATCTACTGGACTTGCATGAACCATACTGAAACTAATTAGTTATATAGCAGTACCAGTAGAACCATTTCTGACAACTATTAACAATAGATGCACCTACATTTTGAATTCATATCATGTTCTTAACCAGAATAGGTAGTTATATTTGGAATTCACATACATGTATGTACTTACCCTGAGTTGGCTGGATATCGTCAGCTTTCTCCCCACACAACATTGTTAATAAGGTTGTTTTCCCAGCCTTTGATAGTCCAAGGCATATTAACTGGTATTCCTGCCTTTGTGATGGTGCTGACTTGCAACATAGCTTTACATACAACTAAGAAATAAAATGTACAAATAAGTCATTGTCAATAGTAGTGTTCATGCTACACGAAGTACGGGCTAAGATTTAAGCCAATCTCATGTGATTGCATATTGGATAGATCCAATTGCGTTCATGCACGAGAGGAAATGTAGTTAGCATGGATTTTCTGTACATGTACTTAGCGTTTCTTAGCCCGTGCTAAGCATTTATGCATGTTTTCTTGGCACAGGCTAAGGTATTTGACCTCCTTGCCCATGCTAAGCATTTATGCATGTTTTCTTGGCACAGGCTAAGGTATTTGACCTCTTTGCCCATGCTAAGGAGCTGTGTGTCAACGCTGCTAATGATTGGATTGTAAAATAATTTGTAAAAAAAACAAGTTACAGTTTATAAACTGATTCTGTAAAATATTTCCAGTCAGATGTGAGGGACCAAACATACGTCAAGTTAAAGAGAATAAGAAATGTGGAGCCCATACATGTAACTGATAAATGAAAGCTTAGGTAATGGAGGCATAAAGTACAAATAAGGAATACTGTATTTGAAAGACATCTCCAATACACATAAAGCAAAAATTGTATTTATTGCATGCAAAATCATTGTTAATTATTATCCCAGAGCATTTACCAAGTTTCATTGGAATCTGATAATTGGTTTTCGATATACATTGTATCAGTGGAACAGCCACACACACAGGGACAGACATACAAAGCAGTCAATTGATTCTGCTGGTGCTATGTTGTCAAATATATATTTAGGCAGCTGGTAAAAGTTTAAAGACAAAATGGAAAAATAAAACTAATACAAAAAAGAAACAAAAAAATAAAAATTCTAAATGGTACACAAAGGATCTTTTCACCATAAAAAATGATGTATACAAACTGTCAAACAAGCTAAATAAGGAGCCATACAATAAACAACTGAGACTTGAATGCTATAGCCTGAAAAAAAAAGTATAAAAACCTGGTAAGAAAGAAACAAAGAGAATTTAAAAGTAATATTTTAAGTAAACTTGAGAATCTGAGTAATGTGAAACCAAATGAATATTGGCATCTCATGAAAGAACTCAAAAATAACCAAGCCGACAACAAGTGTGACTATGTTGAAAGGGCAAAAACACGGTCACAAATGAAATAGACCCAAATATCAAAAAAGACTTAGAAACTAATATTCTCAAATCAACTAATCTTGACCAACCAATATCACAGTTAGAAATACAAAAGGCAATAAGCAACCTAAAAAATGGAAAATCACTCGGAATAGATAAAATCACCAATGAAATGATAAAAACAAGTAGAAACATACTGATAAATGAAATCCAAACACTGTTTAATCTAATATTGTAAAGTGGCCATTTTCCTAGTTGTTGGAATATTGGAATAATAACCCCAATCCATAAAAAAGGGGATAAAACAGACCCCAACAATTACAGAGGCATAACCCTTATAAATACCATGAGTAAATTATTTACACTTGTTCTAAAACAGAGACTCCTTGATCGCATTGACAAGGAAAAAATTATAATTAAAGAACAGATTGGTTTCCTTCCTAAATTCAGTACAAATGACCATATTTTTGTTCTTAACCAGTTACTTACAAAATATTTATGCAAAGGAAAATATATTTTTGTTTGTTTCGTTGACCTAAAGAAAGCTTTCGACTCCATATGGCATGAGGGTCTCATGTTTAAACTTGTCCAAAATGGCATTACTGAAAAATTCTACAAAATCATTAGATCAATGTATTCAAACTCCACAGGATGTGTAAAAGTAAAAGAAGGCCTAACTAAGCAATTTCCAATCCAGAAAGGTATTAGACAAGGTGATGGACTTAAGTCCTTTGCTATTCAATATATTACATAAACGACATCAAAAGACACATTGATCTATCACAAAATGACCCACCAACTCTACTAGACAGTCAG